ACTGGTAGAATTATAACAAAAAAATTATTTGTGTATTTATTTTAGAGGTGCTACACTATTCAAATATTGTATTTGTATTTGTGTATTTATTTTATAGGTGCTCAATACTACTCCCAATAAATATATACTCAAGCTCAAATGTATAAAACATACTATTTTCTTTGTTTTGAGGTAATTACTCAAAATACCCTCTTAAAGGAGGCAATGCTCTAAGTATCTTTGAGCTCATAAACTCAGTTAGAAATCAAAGTTTCTCTTTCTCAATGTAACAAAGTGATACATTTGTGACTACTTAGTTCCCTTATACTCTTTCTCAAATCATTTTTCAAACTCTTTCTCAAGATTCCTCTTTGCTTTCTCAGAACTCAGTTTAAAACAATTACTTTTGTTTAAAAGATTCTCAATAAACATTTACCTAAGTAGAATCTTATATTCAAACTTAATCGGTATGGGAGCTTTAATTTCAACTAAACTTTGTGCTAGAGGTTTCTTGTTACCTTAATAAGGTTACAAAACGTCGGGGTATAGGTTTAGGAAGGGTGGGAAATGACTAAAAATAACCCCTCTTAGAAATTGATAGAAATCATCTACAGAAGGCCACTTACGATCCATACAAAAGTCTACGGACCGTAAACATCACATAGAAAACATGTTGGGGTTTTGATCTCTGAAGTTGGGGCCTACATATCCTTTATACGGCCCGAAGGACCTTTGACGTGTCGTCCTGCTTGATTGTAGAAATCTTACTGGATGTTTCAGGACTTGGTTTTCATGAGGCCTATCTATGGACTGTAGGAACTTCTATGACCCATAGTCCAGTCCATGAAACTTAGACTTGAGAACCAACTTTCAAGGGCTTGGTTCCACGAACCCATCTATGGTCCATACACACTTCTATGGGCCATAAAAAGCTTCCGTGGCACCTAACTACATAAATTTTCAAGGTCAAATTTTGGGTCGGGATTTTCATGGTGTTACAATAAGGTGAAAACATAGTAGCACGTGTGTTAAGTGACAAATGGGTTAGTTAAAGAATGATTCCCTGCTTCTTCATTAGGTTAGGACCCGAAAAGTTAAATTAACTTTTCATTGGAATACCCTTTGACCTTTTATTGTTTCTTGAAGTTTAAATCAATGTTGGTACTTTAGAATGTCACTAATAACCATGAATGATTCAACAATGTAGTTGGAACAAATAGACTCAAGTATAAAGGAAAGATGATTACATTAAAAATAATATAACTTGTATACATAAGCTAGTTATTCCACTAACCATAGAGGTATTAAGTGTAATTGTGTATATAAAGTTGAACATGAACTTGAGTTCACCTCGTTTTGAGGATGAGGGATCAAATATATACTACCTCGGTATTTGAAAGAGCTTAAATTACACTACAACAAAAAAGGGATATAGAGGCAATTAAAAATGGCATTAGCGGCCATAACTATTGCCGCTATAGCCATTACCAGCCAATGCCGTTTGGCCGTTGTATCAGGGAACGACAAAGGCTTTTGCGGCCATTTGGACAAAAGCTGGTAAAGCCAAGCTCTTTTGCCGCTAAAACTCATTTGATTTAGTGGCAATTTGGTGCGGCAATTAAAAAGGCTACTAAATCCAATCCAAAGTGGTTAGTTATTCTCATGTAGTGTCCCATTTTTATAGACAGTAAAACCAACTAAATTGACGCTAAAACACATTTGTTCTAGTGGCAATTGCTTGTGGCAATTTAGATGGCTGTTAAATCTAATAAAAATAGTTAGTTATACTTGTGTAGTGTCCATTTTTATAGCCAGAAAATCCTACTAAATTGTAGCTAAAATGGATTAAATTAAATTTAAAACGGCAATCATGTTCATGTAGCGTCCATTTTTATAGCTGGTAAATTCGATAAAATTGATGCTAAAATTTTATATTTTTAACGACAATAGTTTGGTGGCAATTATAAAGGCTAGAATATCCTTTTGAAAATATCTTAATTTCTATCATTTAGCGTCCAATATTTTGGCTAGAAAATTCACTTAATTTGACGCTAAAAGTCATAAACTTTAATGACCAATTGGTTAGCCAGAATAAATAATGACTACATCAATTCATAAAATTATCTAGTTCGCGCTTCTACTGATAAATTTATAACTCGTAATCCAACAAAATTCTAATTATAAGAGAGCCTATTAAATGCGATGATGTTTTTCAAATGCTAAAAAATATATGATATAAATCATAGAACATAATATATCTCATCAAATCTAAACAAAATGAAGTATTAATCCAAACTATAGTATCATAACTTTACAACTAAACTTATATTTACGAAATATCTAGTATCATTATATAACCAATCCAATAAAATAGTGTCTTCAAAGAATTTCCATATTGGTTTGCCATATTGAAATATTTCATAGGCAAATTTTTTTAACATCATACCGCATGACCTGAAATAATAAAATAAATGTGTCAAAAGATGAAATCCAATTGACAAAAACGTCACGAGATAGGAGAAGTTCTCATACTTGAATGAAATATCTACTACACCAAATGTTACATAAAAAAGCTACGTGCAAATACCAATGACCCTAGTGGGGTTTCTCCTCTTATTGATACATATACATTTAGCAGTAACAAAGTTCCAGTTCAAACCCATATAACATAAGAAAGAGTGAATTATATCATCTCATAGAAAATAACTCAATGATCCAACTAACTTTACTACATGGGCTGGCAACAATGTTGATGACTTAGGGATAAAATTCAAGGGCTGGCAATGCATCAACATCAGTTATCTCAATTGGAAAATGCAAAATCCATGGTATGCAGAAGACAGTTCAGTATGAAGACATTCACAACCTAGACAACAAACATAGAAAAAAACACAAGCACATTCATAGCTTGAGCAACAAACAATGAAAGAACAGAAGCACATTAACAACCTGAGTAGCAAACTAAGAAAAACATTTCAGACCACAAAAACTATGAGAGGAATTCCACCTGAAGCATGATTGTCTTATCAGGTAAGACTAACGATTTGACAGTGAAGGAACCAGAGCAAACTGGTGAAGCAGAGGATACAATTCTGTTATGTAAGTCTCTCATTCTTGTGCATGCTATTTTATACTTTACAGGAGAACAAAAATGAGTGGGTAATTTGATCCAGATCTTTCAAGTTCAGAAATTGTTCAGAAAGAAAACCTTTTCAACTGTTTCGTTAATGGTAATTATCTCTTTATTTAAAGTATTCTTATTGAAAAACAGAACGTAAAAAAGTTGTTTCATTGAAGAAGGCTTCTGTTCTCAAAAAGTAAATATATTCATTGGATGATTAGAGGGCTAATTCGAATAATCAGACAACTAATATTCAACTATACCAACATAAGCTATAGATAAAACTAACTACATTTCAGGGTCTAGCAACAATGTTGATGAATCCAGGATAAAACTCAAGGGCTGACAAAGCATCGAAAATAGCTATCTCAATTGGAAAATGCAATATTGATGATATGCAGATAATAAAAAATCCCACCAATACAAAAAGGCAGTAGACCAGAGAATGATAGCAACAGAAAGTTAATACATCTGAGGAGAAAATTAGTGCACAAAGTATCTTCAGTAATCATACCACTAATATGTAACTATTCCAACAAAACCTATAGATAAAACTAACTATATTTCAAGGGCTGCAACAATACCAACAAAACCTATAGTTGCAACTATACCAACAAAATCAATACAAACATGCATCAGGCTAGAGAATGATAGCAACAGAAAGAGGTGTGCTCTATGTTGTTTGGTAACTTTGGTATATGACTTTTGGGGATTAATTTCTTCTCTGCTTGTATGCTTTTGCTCGTCATAGATTCTCTCTTGTGAATACTACTTCAAGTTATACAAATCATGATTGTCTTATCAGGTAAGATTAATGATTGGACAGCGAAGGAACTAGAGCAAACTGTTGAAGCAGAGGATTCAATACTGTTATGCAAGTCCCTCATCCTTGTACATGCTACTTTATACTTTATAGGAGAACAAAAATGAGATGGCAATTTGATCCAGATCTTTTAAGTTCAGAAATTTTTCAGAAAAGAAACTTTTTCAACTGTTTTGTTAATGGTAGTTATCTTTTTATTTAAGGTATTCTTATTGAAAAAATGAACGTAAAAAAGTTGTTTCGTTGAAGAGGGCTTCTATTCTCAAGAAGTAAATATATTCATTGGATAAACAGAGGACTAGTTTGAGTAGTGAGACAACTAATATTCAGCTATACCAACAAAAGCTATAGATAAAACTAACTTCATTTCAAGGGATAACAAAAATGTAGATGAATCCAGGATAAAATTCAAGGGCTGGCAAAGCATCGACAAGAGCTATCTCAATTAGAAAATGCAAAATCAATGATATGTAGATAATAAAAAATATAAAGAACATGGGATGAGGTGTATACATATTAGTTCAAGTAATCAGATCATTAACACTTAGCTATAAAAATAGAACCTATAGATAAAACTAACTACACATCACAGACGGGAAACAATTGAGATGAATTTGGACTCGAATAGTAACTAAAACAGTAGCACATAAGGATAAATATGAGTAATGCCATGAGAAGTTGGAGTATTTTCAGCAACACTAGGTATCCCTCTTGGTTGTGCTATTTATGCATGGCCACTATCAACATCATGGACCTGATAAATATTTACACATTAGTTAAAAATACTTTTATATGATTAAATTTTATTAAAAATAATTTCTAAAACTTATGGAGTCAAGTTACCTGTCCACTTGAGGTGCCATTGATAATTTGAGGCATAGATTCATTAGGAGCATGTTTGAGCATGAATTGTCGCATTTGGAGTAAATCTAATTGCATATTATCATGAATTTGTTTCATCATATTAATTTCTTCATTTTGTTTCGCCTTCAATTCATTTGTCTCCTGTTCTAACCTTTGTACAATTTCATTAGATTAATCCTCTTCATCAATGTTCTCTAAGAAAGATCTACTACCTCATAGAGCAGAAGGAGTTGGACCAAGTCCTAAACTACGAACATACCCACTTCTTTCATTTCCTAATACTTGGAAATACACATCACCTTTCCAAGCAACATGGTGAGTAGGTTGGTCAGTAGATCCCTCGCTATTGCTCATCTTCTCATTTATCATGTCCTAACCAAAGAAAATATATTAAGTCCAATTTGGAATTCATCTGTTCGCTTTTTCTATTTTTCCCTTAATTTTTTCCAATGTAGAAAATAAAAGAAAGAAGAAATCTTACAATTGCTTTGGCCGAATCATCATCTAATGGTCTACCATCTACAAGTTTTTTATGATTTAATAAGAATATTTCTGCTCGTGTAGGCTCTATACCATTTGAAGTCTAATACAATTAAATTTATGTCATTTGTGCTTGTCAAAAAGAGTTAAATTATTATAATTTTTAATTTTAATAGGCTTACCTGCTCATTTATTAAGGTAGCAATACTTTTGGATCCTCCCGTGCGAGACATCTTTTGCTTGGTCCTATTATTTCTATTTGCTTGGGTACGTCTCTGAAAATGAAAGATTAAAACGATATCTTATGATTTATAAATATAAATTGAGCATAACAAAAATCTAAGCACTATGAAAATTAGAAACTTGAATGCTGTAATTATTTGTTGATACCTTAGCTTTGTCGGAAAGCCAATAAGAGGCCAGATCACTCCATTGATCTCTCGATATACGACTTGGTCTATTTTTTAGCAAAGCATCTTTAGTCTTATACTTAGGAATATGGTCACCTTTTAACTGACACTTGTAATTTTTCCATTTCTTTTCTAGTGACTTTAAGGTAGAGGCTTTTCCGCATTTTGGGATAGAGAACTTCTTCTGAAAAATAAAGCCCACATTTAGAAAATAACATCATGTATAATAGACCTTTCTCACCTCATAATAATGAATAAGCCATACCCTCACAAAATTAAGCAATTTCTTATTTTCCTCAATGTCGAAATTTCTCCAATCATCTACATGTAGAGGTGTTAATTTTGGAGTTCTTGCAATAATTCCTAGAAAGCTAGAAAGCTTTCGACCCTCTTTTCTAATAGCCTGATTATGACTATTAAACGACACGTCAACTATTTTTCCCAAAGGAAGTTTCCAAATATCTTTTAGTAAAGTAGGTCCACACACCTTTCTTGCCTCCGAATTACCTAGAAGAAAAAATATTTGAAGGACATCAAATGATAAAAATTTATATGGTTAAACAATTGAGAGGTGCTTCACAATATGTTAAATAATAGTATCACGACAAAATAATAGAAAAAAGATTACCTGTTGCCTACCTGAAGCATCTTTTTCAAATTATGTCTTACTCAAATGTTTACTCTACTGCAATTCTGAAGTACCAGATGGTACAAATTTATGAACTAGCCAGAAAGGCATGAAAAATCTTAAAGTGAAAAAATCACCCCAAGCAATAACAACTAGCCATTCATGGAGACGAAAAACTTGATACACTTATCGAAGAGAATATTGTTGGTTCTGGTGTCACTACTCACATACACAAGTCCTTCATAAATAAAAACACCAAGGAGTGAAAGTTTCCAGTTTTACCTTGGATGTATATTGACTAATGACACTTTTTTTGTTAATGTTTTTCCTTCTTTATCTAGGTATATATACTCAGGATGGAAACACTACAACTTCAAGCTTAAGGATTTCATTGAAGATAATGTTTTAAGAAAGAACTCTACTAATTTATCAATCTTTCATTGAGTTAGGGAAGCAGATCAAGTTGTTGAGCTTCAAAATACAGAGAAGAAACTTGGCATAACAGATATTCAACTCATTCTTTCTTTGAAAAAGTTTTCTGAAGATAACTAGACAGGCTTGGAAGATATAGCTGAAGGAAACTTTGTGACTCTTCAAATACATGACTCTCATTTTCTTAGAGTTATCATTTATAACCTATGGTCAAGTTTCCAACAAATGTTAACATTTTTTAGTTTTTCACACTGGAATTATCACGCCACGAGGCTACCCCGGACGCGGACATGGGACCTATGATCACGAGTGACCCCAAGCTAACCCTGCTGGCATATCATAAGCATACTAAGAGATTACTGAATAAAATATACTATGCGGAAGCATAAAACCATAATTAATTGTAAGTGGAGAATACCTAATACTAATTTGATTATAGAAAAGACTATGAGTTTAATAACAACTTGAAGATCAAACTCAAAACTAAAGCTGAATCTAGTACTATGTCTGAAATAAGCCTCTAACTGACTAGAGATGCTGAGACATGTCCCCAGCTAACTCTAGCAAAACTGAAACTAAAAGACTAAATATGGAAAGTTAACATGTCAATCATCCTCGAAGAATGAGGACTCACCACTGATGCTGCTGAACTTGAGATCAAAAACCGATCTAAGCGTGATTTGATTGCTGAGGGCTTGAATATACATAACGAGAAGATGTAGCACAGAGTATGAGTTAGTACTTGAAAGGTACTGAGCATGCATGATAAAATAAAGCTGAATAAAACATATAACTGAACAATCAATAAAGATATGATATAATCAGAACATGATAAGGATACTGAGATATATTGAATATGAACTAAATTGAATGCAATGACCAAGTACATGACATGCTGAGAATGAATACTGAACTGTAACTGATAACCTGGTCAATGCACTATAATCTGACTATGAGAGCTACTAATAACCGATATAAAACCACATGAGCTAAATGTGGATTCCAATGTGTACGTCCCATCGAGAGGACTCAATATACCCTGCCAGAGTTATAGAGGCATGACTGGCGTGATCACTAAAACTGATGCCCAACTGAGGGGACTTAACCTACGGGGGCACGTAGTTCTGGGATATGAGGGTAAGTTGAACCCTAGTCTAACTCGGTCTAAGCCTACTCCCAACTGGAATATGTATATGATACTTTATGACTAAAATACTAAAATAGTGAATAGCTCAAAATACTGACATGCAAATACGCATGATTGAAAACTCTTTCTCAGAAACAATTCATAATAATATTTTAATATGATCATTGATGATTCGGGAAGTCATACTGCATAAACATTGATGCTATATCCTGATACCATACTGCTCATACATTGATGACATACTCGATTTCCATACTAATCATGTTTTAGAAAACTCTTTTCTCAAAACTCATCTTTATTTTCTCAAAACTCAGTTTAAGAACTCAAGTGTTGGTTTTGAAAAGCTTCTTAAGATTTATAACTTAAAATAGGGTTCAATGCTGAAATATGCTGATAATGTGACATTTGAAATTGGAGTATGTATAACTGAATAAACTGACCAAGCAAGTGTAATTCATGAACTAAACTAATCTATACAACTAGGGTTCTAAGTTTCAAGCAAGAACAATAATTCCACGAAAGCATGATAATCTGATTTGGATTAGTCTAATAGCTGAATCAAATATTAAATTCTAGAAACCCTAGGTCTAAACATATGGTTGAGAATCAAGAATCTGACTGAATTCTAGGGACCGAATGGGTAAAACGAACCCACTAGTGTAATCCCACATACTTGGTGACAAAATTCAGGGGGAAATCTTTCGATTTCGGTGATGGAACTGAAGAAAACTTGTTGTGTTCTTGGAAGGGTTTAAGTCACCTTTTTTCTCCAATTTTGTTCTAGGTTTGATGATTTTTTGGTAAATAAAGGTTTTGGGTATGTCTGACTAAGTTATTAGACTTATTCTTAGTAAAACCACATAGTTTAGGTTTAAAACGACGAAGTTTAAGTGCCCAACGAATAGTAAAAAGAACTAAATGACCCTAACTTAAAAGCTGGCGAAGGCTGCCTACGGAGGGGCCTACGGGCCGTAGGTCAACCTACCCACCGTAGGTTGGGTCGCAGGTCAAGTCTGCCCGACAAGGCTTCACTAAAACGACCATAACTTTTTACTGGGAGATGAGATTTTAGCAAACTCGGTGGTGTTGGAAAGAATATTCAATTATCTATAATTTAGTAGGTAATGGGCCACCTAATTACTTTTTTGATAAGGGTTATGACCATTTGAAGTTGACCCAATTAGCAATTTCCCTCTAATTGGCTGTTGACCTTCACCAATGGTCAAACCTACGATCCGTAGGTCCAACCACAGACCGTACTGGTCGATCGTGGGTGGGATAAGAGACTATAGAGATTTGGACCTTAACAATGGAACCCTACCTACGGTCCGTGGTCCCACCTACGATGTGTGGGTGGTTCTATTGGTACTGGAATCGATAAAAACTAGGATTTTTTCTTCATTTTAAGATTTGAGGTGTTACAATATCTCTCCCTTGGGAAAGTTCATCCTCGAGTGAAGTCTAATCAAGCTGAGTATGGAGGGAAGAAGCTGCAATCCCTACCACTAAGTACTAGAAACTGATTTCTGACTGAATTGAGTTCCAAGAACATGCAAATACGCTGAAAATGTAAGAACAACTAAAGGAACATGATACTAAGACTGAATTTACGCATGAGTAAACTGAAAGACTGGAGAGGAAACTATTATCTCAAGCTGAAATGGAATCGGAAGGAAAGAGATGAGGATACTAGGCCTTCATGGCTGCTTCTACTTCCTAAGTAGCTCCCTCTACGGACTGAGTCCTCCAAGTTTGTCAAATATCATCACCCCTTCACAAGTGATACTTTCAAGAAAACCCAATCATCTATCTCAAACTCTAAATCCCTTCTCCTTACATCTGCATAGGACTTTTGTCTTAAGTCTATTTCTGACGAGTTGAAATTTTTCCCATAGCTTTATAAACTGAATCTGGCCCAATCAAAGTTGTTTCAACTACTCATCCACCTTAGGAACACATAAGCGACCATATCCCCCTTGGGAGAAAACCTCTTCTTTCTGCTGATGAACTACACCTTCCAACTAAATCAGTATATGATCAATATCTTGTTTTTCCTTAACCTCCGCTACCAATGAAGATTTTGATCTATCCTGGGTAATCACACGACCATCTGGCATGTCAGTAAGACCAACTCCTAAGCGAGCAAGCCGATGAACATCTCTTGTTAATTCCTTTCTTTCTTCCTCAACATGTACTATACTACCCATAGAGATCATCTTTCTGGTCTTAAGGTAAGAGATAAATCGACCTACAAACACTGAGCTGCTATCCTTCCATTCTAAGACTGGCTTGTTTGGAAATTATAAACGAACGATCCTAGTTCTACAATCGACTAAGGCATAACAAGAATGTAACCAATCCATGCCTAGAATGATATCGATATCTACCATTTCTAACTCTACAAAATCTGTTGAGGTGACCTTCTAAGAGACTGTGACAGGGCATTTTCTGTATACCCGTCTAGCTATAATTGGGTCACCCACTGGGATAGTGACTGAGAAGGGTTTTGAGAGAGTTTCTGAACTAATATCAAAGTTGACTGCTATATAAGAAGTTACAAAGGAAAGAGTAGCCCCTGGATCTAACAAAGCATAAACATCTAAGTTAAATACTCATAACGTACCAGTGACCACATCAAGAGAATCTTCCTGATCCTGGCGAGCATACAACCTATTCTGGCGCTGACTGCCACCTATACCAGATGAAACACCCTGCTGCGTTGGGCGACCTACTGGTGCTGCTGGAACTGTAAACCGAGCCCTATTATTGTTACCTTCTTGACCCTACCTAGTAGAAGGGCAATTCTTCACCCTATGACCAGATTGACCACACCCAAGCATCCTTCCTTGCCTGCTAGACACTCGCCCGAATAGTTCTTACCACACTTTGGAAAAGTTGGGTAGGTCTTATTTCCTGAAACACTTCTATGAGACTTATAGCCTAGTGCCCTACTATTCTGATCATGTCAAAACTGTGAGTAATTTCCACCACTCGCTTTCTGCTGAGAGTACTCATAGTTCCCTGTTCAAGCTTTCTTGTTGACCTTAGTTATTTCCTTAAGCTTATCTTCCTCAACCTGGTGAGCATGAGTCTTGAGCCTAGATGTGTTCATGTCATCCAACAACATAACATTTATGTACTCTGTCTTCACTAAGTCGGACACAACATATAGAAACTTAGACATCTGTTCCCTCGAATTAGCGACCATGTGCGGAGCATAATGGAGAGTTGAGTGAACTTGAGTCCGTACTCTTGGACTGACATTGTACCTTGCCTCAAATTCATGAATTCCTGAGCTTTAGCCTCCCTCAACACTCTCGAAAATAATCCGTCAAGAAAAGCTCCAATAAAGCATTCCCAAGTCATAGGAGCTGCATTGTCACCCCTGTTTTCTTTCCACCGCGTGAACCATATGTGAGCTACATTCTAAAGCTAATAGGATGCCAACTCTACCCTATCATTACTAGTTACTTGCATCACTCCAAAGATTTTCTTGACCTAATCAATAAAGTTCTGGGGATCTTCTCCAACTTGCGACCCTAGAAACTCTGCATTCAAAACATCTTGATCTGGGATTGGAGGAGTTACGTAAGCGTTGCGGGCATTCGTATTCCTTGTGTAAGCTATACGAGGAGGCATGATCTGAAATACATAACGACGAGTCAGAAATGGGAAGTTTGATCATACCTCACACATGATAAAAGTAGCAAGAAAGTGAAGTTCTCCTAAAATACTTCGTAGCCTCCCTTTCATTAGATGTGGTGCACTTCACACCCATGAAAAGCACTCTACTTAGTGCATCTTTTGGGACATCCTAGGACACTTAAACCTAATGCTTTGATACTAAGTTTTTTCATACCCCGAGGCTACCCCTTGGACGCATGAGTCACCCCAAGCTACCCCTACTGGCATATCATAAGCATACTAAGAGATTACTGAATAAAATATACTATACGGAAGCTTAAAACCATAATTAACTGTAAGTGGGGAATACCCAATACTAATCTCATTATATAAAAGACTATGAGTTTAATAACAACTGGAAGATCAAACTCAAAACTAAAGCTAAATCTAGTACTATGTCTAAAATAAGCCTCTAACTGACTAGAGATGCTCAGACATGTCCCCAGCTAACTCTAGCAAAACTAAAACTAGAAGACTGAAAATGGAAAGATAACATGTCAATTGTCCTCAAAGAAGGAGGACTCACGATTGATGCTGTTGAACTAGAGATCGGGAACCGATCTATGCCTGATCTAAGTGCTGAGGGCCTGAACCTACATCACGAGAAGGTGTAGCACACAATATGCGTCAGTACTTGAAAGGTACTGGGCATGCATGATAGAATAAAAATGAATAAAACATATAACTAAACAAGAAATAAAGCAATGATATAATCTGAATATGATAAGGATCCTGAGATATACTGAATATGAACTAAACTGAGTGCAATGACCAAGTACATGACATGCTGAGATTGAATACTGAACTGTAATTGATAACCTGGTCAATACACTAGAATTTGACTATGGGAGCTACTAATAATCGACATAAAACCACATGAGATAAATGTGGAGTCCGATGTATACACCTCATCGAGATGACCCAATATCCCCTGCCAGAGGTATAAAGGCATGACTGGCGTGATCACTAAAACTGATGCCCAAAAGAGAGGACTTAACCTATGGGGGTACGTAGTTCTGGGACTATGAGGGTACGTTGAACCCTAGTCTAACTCGGTCTAAGACTACTCCCAACTGGAATATGTATATGATACATTATGACTAAAGTACTAAAATACTGAATAGCTCAAAATACTGACATGCAAATACTCATGCTTGAAAACTCTTTCTAAAAAACAATTCAAAATAATATTTTAATATGATCATTGATGATTCGGGAAGTCATACTGCATAAACATTGATGGTATATCCAGATACCATACTGCTCATACATTGATGACACACTCGATTGTCATACTAATCATGTTTTAGAAAACCTCTTTTCTCAAAACTCATCTTTATTTTCTCAAAACTCAGTTTAAGAACTCAAGTGTTGGCTGTTAAAAGCTTCTTAAGATTTATAACTCAAAAATAAGGTTCATACTGAAATATGCTGACAATGTGACGTCCAAAACTGGAGTATGTATAATTGAATAAACTGACCTAGCAAGTGTAATTCATGAACTAAATGAATCTACAAGCAAGGGTTCTGAGTTTCAATTAAGAACTAATCAATAATTCCACGAAAACATGATAATCTGATTTGGATTAGTTTAATAGCTGAATCACAACACAAATCTAAAATTCTAGAAACCCTAGGTCTAAACATGAGGCTGAGAATCAAGAACTGAATTCTAGTGACGGTATGGGCGAAAGGAACCTACTAGTGAAATCCCACATACCTGGTGATGAAATTCACGGAGAAATCTTTCGATATCGAGGCTGGAACTGAAGAAAACTTGCTGCTTTCTTGGAAGGGTTTGGGTCGCCTTTTTTCTCCTCTTTTGTTCTAGGTTTGATGAATTTTTGGTAAATACAGGTTCTGAGTATGTGTTACTAAGTTATTAGACTTATTCTGAGTAAAATGATGTAGGTTAGGTTTAAAACGATGAAGTTTAAGTGCCCAACGCATAGGAAAAAGACCCAAATGACCCTAACTTAAAAGCTGTTGAAGGCCACCTATGGAAGGAACTACGCGCCGTAGGTCAACCTACCAACCGTAGGTTGGGTCGTAGGTCTAGTATGACCTACAGGGCTTCGCTAAAACGAGCATAACTTTTTACCCGGAGATGAAATTTTAGAAAACTCAGTAGCGTTGGAAAGATGATTCAATTATCTATCATTTAGTAGGTAATGGGACACCTAATTCTTTTTGTGCTAAGGGTTATGACCATTTGAAATTGACCTAATAAGCAATTTCCCTCTAACTGGCTGCTGACATACACCAACGGTCAGACCTACCGTCCGTAGGTCCAACAACGGACTGTATTGGTCGATCGTGGGTGGAATTAGAGACTATAGAGATTTGGGCCTTAACAATGGAACCCCACCTATGGTCCGTGGTCCCACCTACGGTCTGTGGGTGGTTCCATCTGTACTGGAACCAGTGTTTTGAAAACTAGGATATTTTCTTCATTTTGAGATCTGAGGTGTTACAGAAATGCAGAGAGAATCGACCATAGTAAAAAAATTAAAGAATAGTTGAACAAGGATGGATCAGCTATTTAACAACCAATATATGTAATAGCAACAATGTGTGGATAAAAAACTCTCAAGTTCCATCAACAAAGTTTTTCCTAGCATGTATAACTAATAGGAAATAGACAACTTACGAAGTATTACTTGATTCATCAATGCCACCAACATAATTATTCAACTCTTTAGATTGATCATCGTGATCTTGGGTTTGACAGTGATTCTAACTATTCATCAGCTGCTCAATATAAGGTTGAGCTTGATCAATGTTCCGTTCATCTATTAACTACTCAACATATTGTCGTAGACCTTCATCATTTTGTATTTGAAAGTACAATCTATTGCGAACTCTAGTTTGCATACTTTCTTATCTAACATGATATAACTATGTAGATGCATTAAGTTGCACTAGTAGCAGAATAACAGGACACATGAAATACAAGAGAAAGAAACATCATCTTAAGCTTTGAAAACACATACTAATGCACCAGAATAAACAAAATTTCAACTCATAAGAAAACATTGGCACTTCACAATCCAACGGATAAAACAACAAAATTAAAGAAAATGCATGCTGATTCTTATCGTGACCAACGACACTAACCTATAGTACAAGTGTCTACGATCGTCGATAATATAGTAACCCAACCAAGGGTTGGGGTTGTGTCCCAAGGGAGTGGTTTTGAGAATTAGTAGAAAAATAAAATTAAGTTCAAACTAGTCGTAGCTAAAGACATTAACGATTAAAAACATTGTAAATTAAATGGGGTGACACAAAGGTGTCAAATATCAAATGGGGGTTTTGTCACAAGTAGTAAAAAACAACAAAAATAACAAGAAAATCAAGTTTGGGGACAAGTTCTTGGGGTGTGACCGCAATACAAGTTGAGATAAATCATTGGGTACATGCTTTCGATAGGAAATTTCCAAGATAATAGTGACTAGGCTAAGCTTTAGATGGAAATAAGTTCCCTCTCGGGCAACTTACCCTGTTTAAAATGTGTTCCTCGAATACCCATTTGCCGCATGAAGGCCAGCCTACGCCTTACCCCACTCACTCTCTCGAGCTGAGTGTTAGGATATGGAACTATGGCTCACCCTCTCGGGCTGAACCTCATGTCGACCCACTTCTTAGGCCATCAGTCTAGCGGACTTTGTTTCGCGACCTACCTCTCGGGCAAGCCGAAAATACATGGGTGGTTTTGTATTTGCAACTATAAACCCATTAAATTAAACCATAACCACTAGGTGAAATCACCATTAAAATACATCTATCCTATCAACAAGAAAAACCCCCCAACAACAATATCAACACATATTTGCTAAATCACACCCCAAGAATGGGGTTTTTAGCCATACATCAAGAAATAACAAAATCACCTAAAATGATACTAAAATAAAATGGGTATAAGGAATTAAACCTTGATTTAAGCAAAGGAAGAAGAATGGAGAAGACCCACTTCCAACTTGGGGAATATGAAATCCTTCTTTCTTCAAGTCTCCAAAAAACCCTCTCCAAACTTGAGAGATAATATCCCAAAGAGTACTATTGTATTGTGAAAATTAAAATAAATGTTCGAACATTAAAAATTAATAACAAGTTGAGTATTTATAGACTTCAGAAAATAGTGCTGGCAAATCTTTTAGCGAGGTTAGTCGGAATTGCCAATTAACTCGGCGATTTTCCCTTAGGTGTAGTTTGTCGCAGTCTTGCACTAGCCTTTAGCATGGTCGTGCTCTGTGTCATTGGGCGAGATAGTACTGCTTCGCGGAATTTTTCAGCGAAACGCCGACTGATCCTTTCATCGCCTTTTTGATCTTTCTCCTTCAGGGCTTCGTGTACTGGAACAAAGTGCGGAGTGCGTCCCTTTGGCGCATCGCCAAGCGTGCTTGGCGATGAACATGCTTCAGATTCTTCGTTCTTTTCAGCCCTTTTGTTCCTTTTTGCGTCTAACTGTCCATTCTTCCACTAAAACTTCAAATATCTAAAACTTAAGAGTTTTCATTAGAT